AATACAAAGGTTTGCAACAAAGATTGGTGCCAGAGCTAAGAGGGTTAAACGAGTATATGATAAGGGAACTAATTCTCACAACCCTAAAAGTTAGAAGGAACAGATGGAATATGATGACAACATACAAGATACTGAGGGGAATAGATAAAGTGTAGCAGAATAATATCTTCTAATTGAGAGAAAGTAAGGCAAGAGGACACAGGAGGACGTTGGAAACCCAATTGAACCGAAGGAACAAATGAAATGACAAATTCGACAAAGAATTTTAACGTAAGTTAAATTTATAAGACTTCACCCCACCCCCTCCCCTCCCCCGTCAAGCACTGTTAGGTAAGCTCTGTTAAGTACGTACTATTGGATATGCTCCACCAGAAACAGCTTCACCAGCTTCACCAGCTCCACCACCACCCCCAGCTTCACCAGCTCCACCACCACCACCACCACCCCCAGCTTCACCAGCTTCACCAGCACCACCACCACCCCCAGCTTCACCAGCTCCACCACCACCCCCAGCTTCACCACCACCACCCCAGCTTCATCACCACCACCACCACCCCAGCTTCACCACCACCACCACAACCCCCCACCACCACCACAACCCCCAGCTTCACCACCACCACCACCACCACCACCACCATCACCACCACCACCACCCCCAGACCTTCTCCACCTGCTGCGCCACAACCTCCACCAGCACTGAGAGCGGTCAGCAGGGAAGGTTGTGCGGCACCGTTTGGAGCAAGCAATCTGGTGCCACATTCATCATTCTAATCCCGCGGTGCTCTTATGGGCACCATCCGGCCTCATTCAGAAGCCAGACCTCCAGGACCCAAGCACAAACAATTCAGACCAGAAACTCCACTCGAGGGCGGCTGTATCACGCCACGAACATTGAAATAAAGCCTATACCGAGTAATTCACTTTCATACAAAAATATATTTTGCCAGATACCCTGTAAATACGACACTAATTTGAATAACAAACCAGAAATATAATATCTTCATATTACCAGAGATGAAGAGGGCAATATGAGCTGGCATTGCCAATTGCTCGTCATATTTGCAATTCATATTCAGAAAGAGACTTCGAAACGAATTACACAATTCAGTTTAATTGATGAAAAAATCTGTGTAATTTGCGTCTGATTCAATCTCCCAGCATTGCTTATTGTTTCAAAACGAACAGTTTCGTGTGTTTGAGCAGATGTTAGGATTCTGTTCGAGAATATACGTATATACATAATAGTTATTGTTTGCCTCTAGGGCTACTGCTAATTAGACATGATGTATGTTTTAGATGAGCTACAATGTTCCCCTCATAAATACCTAACCATTAGATTACCGTTTATAGCATGAAGATACAAGTTCTCCCTCAGACTTGGAATTTGCATTAAAACTTTAACAAATGCTCGCAGATATGAATATATCTTGTCAATACTGTTCTTCTCTGAAGCTTACGATATGTTACTACTAGTATCCACATACTGGGAAAAGTTTCAACAATATGCAGCAAATATAACGGCAGGAAGTAACGCGAGTTAACATTGTGTTGCTTAGTGAGCAACACATGTTGCTCACGTTATACATATGAGCAAGTTATTCATATAACTTGCATATAACTTAACATATAACTTCCTCAGTGAGGAAGTTATATGCGTGTGAAGACCCAGGTTGAACATCAGTTAGGAAGCATTATGTGGGAAGATCCATGATGTGCATCAACATGGATGAGATAGACATCAGCAGCCTACACAGAGAATTGAACTAACGCAACGTGACCTCAAGAGGACGTAATAAAACGAATGAACTATGAGAAGGAAGCACCAAGCCATTGCGACTATATAGCACTTGAAAGGGGTCAGGTTAAGGGTTTGGGATGGGACGGGGAAAGGAATTGTTCCCAACCACTTGGACGGTCGGGGATTGAACGCCGACCTGAATGAAGCGAGACCGTCGCTCTACCGTCCAGCCCAAGTGGTTGGGATGAGAATTTTAGGTTCTTTTTTAGTGTGTTATGGTCTCGATTTTAATGGTTTTCTTATGTGGATAATACTAATTCTCCGCACGTGGAATTATGTCTGAAAATAAAACTTAGAAATTTTTGTTAACGTGAGAACCTTCAGAGAAGAATTTCACCACATCACGAAAGTATCACCCGTTGATGCCAGGGCCCAGGAGTCATCTGGCATCTATTCATCCAATTACGAAACCTGTGCATCTTTTCTCAATCATTGCGGCTTTGTTTACATTTATTTACAAATGTATGAGCTCCGAGACACTACGAGGATGTTTATGACGTCAATAACCTTGGATTGGGTAGTTTCGAAGCTCGTAAACTGCTAAACAAAGCCGCCATGATTAAAAGAAGATGTACAGGTTTCGTAAGTGGTTGCGTAAATGCTTGATGAATCCTGGGCCCCTGATTGGATGTAATGAGCCACGAACAGGGCTGTACACGAGACTCAGTGGTGTGAGTCTATCAAGATGTCGGCAGAATACTAAGAGTGTCAAGAGCCCCGGTGACAGTTACAAGTCTTCATAATGTTTGGCTTCTTCCTGCTCTCAAACAGTGCCATATTCGCGGTGGGGCTTGGTGGTGCATGGAGCCGTTCCGCACTCAAGGTGCTGCTTGGTGCTGCATGGAGCCGTTCCACACTCAAGGTGAAGCTTGGTGCTGCATGCAGCCGTTCCACGCTCAAGGTGAAGCTTGGTGCTGCTCTGGAACCATTCCACACTCAAGGTGCGGCTTGCTGATACTCTAGGGCCGTTCTGCACAAATAAATATTCTGTTGTTTTTACTACTTTGCGTGTAATCGAGAAATTAAGCAGTAAATTTGACCAGGGTGACAGTTTCGCGGGATAATGACTCGACCATCTGGGACTTGGACCACAAATTCCAACTACTGGCGGTAAACTTTCCTCTTGCCTAATAAGGCCGGTTAAATACAGCGATTCAGTGAGTGGAAACTTTATACATAAAATGAAGCTTTGCAATCTAAATTTAGTAATATTTTCATAGAATTACGACCAAATCTTTTATACATTCGCCCAGCATAACGATATTTTGCAAGGCTGATTATATTTTTTAGATTTAAAATTTTGTCGTTTCATCAGCCTTTCTGAGGTCTACGTGTTAGCACATCCAAGCGATGAGGTTGAACAAGCGTTTTTCTTGTTGATTTCTAATTAAGGTAACTCAGGGGAATTTCTTGTACCCCGGGTACATTCATCTGAATGTTCCAGTTTCCGACCGCGTTCATAAATACGAAACTTACTTAGGCCGTAAGTTTCTTCCCCCCACGGTAATGTGCTTGTAAATCTTAGAGGAAGTTTTTCAAGGCTCCCCGCATAGCGCCACCTTGAGGCTCTTCTTCTCCAGCTGCTGTGATGGAGGGTTACAAAGGTGAGGTTTGCTTTATAAGCTGGAAGTGAGTACTCGATTTTCTTTATTTCCTCTCTCTCTCTCTCTCTCTCTCTCTCTCTCTCTCTCTCTCTCTCTCTCTCTCTCTCTCTCTCTCTCTCTCTCTCTCTCTCTCTCTCTCTCTCTCTCTCTCTCTCTCTCTCTCTCTCTCTCTCTCTCTCTCTCTCTCTCTCTCTCTCTCTCTCTCTCTCTCTCTCTCTCTCTCTCTCTCTCTCTCTCTCTCTCTCTCTCTCTCTCTCTCTCTCTCTCTCTCTCTCTCTCTCTCTCTCTCTCTCTCTCTCTCTCTCTCTCTCTCTCTGGTGGGCACTACCTCTATCTCTCTGTCAAGAGAGAGAGATAGAGGTAGAACATACGTTATTATCTAACCTATCTTCGTGACTCCCTAAAAGAGAATGTCTCATTTGCCTTTATTTATACATGTATTTATCCATTTGGGAAACCGCTTACTTTATTGATAGATATTTGAATTCCACACTGCATGGACGCACAGGCTGGGTTCAAGAGCTCAGAACTCCTGTGTGTGAACCGGGCAGCAGGATGGGTGGAATATTTTTCCTTTCCTCTGAAAGCATTTCGCCTGTGATGGGAATTGATCCAGCAGCCAAAGAGTTCAAAGCTAATACTCTGAACAGCTGTCGATAAACAATTTGGTCCACTGAAATATTTAAATGCCGATTTCTAAGAATCTTCAGAAGACCGCATCGACTTGGCTGGATTGTTTGGCCAAATTGAATTTTTTTTGTCGTTAATAATTAAAAATATAAACTAATGAAATGTTGTGGTAATTGAGTGGTTGTAGATTATTTTTGCAATAATTTTTTTTTCAACGAATTATATTTTTGTATGTATATGATGCGGGGCAAAAATGACTGTGGAGTTTATTACAGACTTCCGATAAGCTGCCGCAGTCACTCTTCTAAGGTGTGGATAAGGTATGGCAAAGGTGAGGTCAGGGAGAGCAAAGGTGAAGACAGGGAGAGGCAAAGGTGGCGATAGCGAGATCAAAGGTGAGGACATGGTAGGCAAACTACCATGGCAAACTACTATTCCTATCTCATACTTTCCATGTAACTGTTCTATACTTCTGTTTCAGGGTAAAAGAACAGCTCCTGTTTCCCCAACCATCCGACAGAGGGCGATTTTGCCAAGTGTTCAGTCAGGTCCTTCACTCCCATCTCTGATCTTGGATATCCACAACAGTCTACGTTTCACATCTAACCGGTTTGGTTTGGTGTTGGTCTTATAAGGCCTATCAACCTCTGCAGATGCCACAATAACTTACTGACCATCCATATAGCACTTAGAAGAGATACAAAGATAAGGATTTGGGGGTAGGACGGAGGGGAGGGAATGGTGTCCAACCACTTGGACGGTCGGGGATTGAACGCCGACGTGCATGAAGCGAGACCGTCGCTCTACCGTCGAGTCCAAATGGCTGGGCTATCCAGGGTTGAGATAAACTCTCACTGTATACACGATGAGAAGTGAGGTATACCTCAGGGCATCTGGTGCCCCGTGCTATACCAACAGTATCGTTGATCAAGTCTCCCGTGAAACGCCTGTAATATTAATAAAACCAGTTATAATAATTTTTAGGTTTATTTAAACGAAACAACGTATATAAAATAAGGTAAATATTGATATATAAACAGTTCATTAATATTAAATAAAAAATATATTTTGTCATTAACTTATAGGATATATTATATGGGCGTGAGAGTTGATGATTGATAATAATGGGATATGGTATCGGGGTGGTATGTGTGGGCGTTGGTATGTGGTCTCTGGGGTGGTATATTGGGTGTGGGCGTTGGTATATGGTCTCCGGTGTGGTATGTTGGGTGGGTGTTGGTATGTGGTCTCGGGGTGACATGTGGTAGGGCGTTGGTATGTGGTCTCCGAGGTGGTATGTGGTGTGGGTGTTGGTATGCTGTCTCCGCGTGGTATGTTGCCTGGGCGTTGATATGTGGTCTCGGGGTGACATGTGGTATGGGCGTTAGTATGTGGTCTCCGGGTGATATGTGGTGTGGGCGTTGATATGTGGTCTCGGATTTTATACGTAATCCGGTGACCTAAAAATGTTCTCGAGACCAAGATGTGGTCTGGGGTTCTACTTGTGGTTTTGTGGTCGATAAGTGGTCTCCTGACCACTTATGGACAACTTATCAGGTCCGGGATAAGTGATCCCGACTTCGAGATGAGGTCTTTGGAACAATATAAATATATATATGGCGTCCTTGGTCGAACTGTGGTCTTGGGTCCAGATGGGGGTCTGGGAGGGGTCTATATGGGGGAATGGTTGAGATGTGGAACTATATACTAGTGGGGGTTCGGTCTCTCCTTGATAAGTGGTCTCGGAGGCAAGTTGTGGTCTCGATTCGTAATGTGATCTTGGATTGAAAGACTTCCTTGGTGGAGATGCAATTATGTTGGAGATGTTATGCTAATAAAATTATTTTTCTTGGCGTGTCTTGGTGAAATTGCAGTCAGTAGAAATTTAATTTTATGGGTGATGAAAGTATCTTAGTGAAAATGTGATATTAGTGACGATGTCTTGGCACTGTTCTCTTGAAGATGCCTTGTCACTATTGTTATCATTGAGAAGATAACAGTGTCCTTGGTGATGCTGCTCTTCTAGTGAAGATGTTATTTTGATGATGCCTCAACCGGCAAAATTTCGTAGTGAGAATAATACCTTTATGAACAGCATATATAATAGTATAATCAAAGAACATGTTATATGTGCGGAAATAATACAATAGTTAAGACAATGTAGATATGCTATAAGGCCATTAGTTAATAAGGAGTTTTTGCAACTAGCATTCAATATATATATGATAAAGCTGGGTTATAACGTTGCAAAGGCTATATAAGTGAGAAAATTAGGATTGGTTCTGTCAGACAGACAGTCCATGTAACTTTTACTGTGTGCGACATAATCATGCTGGCTTTCTCCCTCACAATTGCCTTCCCTTTCTGTCTGACGGTCTTCACGCTTGGAACAACACCCAGGACGGTCGACAGTGTCCACGACGGTCGACAGTGTCCAGAATGGTCGACAGTGTCCAGAATGGTCGACAGTGTCCAGGACGGTCGACAGTGTCCACGACGGTCGACAGTGTCCAGAATGGTCGACAGTGTCCAGGACGGTCGACAGTGTCCAGGACGATAGACAGTGTCCTGGACGGTCGACAGTGTCCACGACGGTCGACAGTGTCCAGAATGGTCGACAGTGTCCAGGACGGTCGACAGTGTCCGGAAAGATCGACAGTGTCCAGGACGGTCGACAGTGTCCGGAACGATCGACAGTGTCCGGAACGATCGACAATGTCCAGGACGGTCGATAGTGTCCAGGACGGTCGACAGTGTCCAGGACGGCTGACAGTGTCCAGAATGGTCGACAGTGTCCAGAATGGTCGACAGTGTCCACGACGGTCGACAGTGTCCAGGACGGCTGACAGTGTCCAGAATGGTCGACCTGTGTCCAGAATGGTCGACAGTGTCCATGACGGTCGACAGTGTCCTGGACGGTCGACAGTGTCCGGAACGATCGACAGTGTCCACGACGGTCGAAAGTGTCCACGACGGTCGACAGTGTCCACGACGGTCGATAGTGTCCTGGACGGTCGACAGTGTCCTGGACCATGGACAGTGTCTTGGATGATCGACAGTGTCCAGAACGATCGACAGTGTCCACGACAGTCGACAGTGTCCGGGACGGTCGACAGTGTCCGGAACGGTGGATAAACGTCCACTATAGCACCTCCCTTCCTGCAGTCATAGCAAGATTTACCTGAAAAGAAAAATTGATGGAACCGTCTCATTATTGTTTTAAAATTTAACAACTTAAATAGCCTTAACTGCAATAGGAGAGCGGAGTGTACATTAGTTTGGTATTTTATGTTGAACAGTAAATGCTTAGAAGGATAATCCACTACCATTGGCTTCCTCTTGATTGACTATGTCACAGCTTGTAAGCTTGGTCGAGATCGTTCAGGCGACGCTGGAGGCTTGAAGGACCTAGATGATAATGGACTGTCTGCCAGAACATCTTCTCCTGGTCCCCAGTGCAGAGAAGTCTCGCGCACTCCTTCAACGATTGCAGCAGCTGGTAAACAGGCAATAATGTTAACTTTATAGTCCACATTCTTGAAATGAGATTACCCAGCCTTAGAAAAATGTGCCCAGTCTTAGAAATGGGTGCACGTACAGTATTGGAAATTGGGAGTGACATTTAAGTCTTTAGCAATGCTTTCTACTTGTTCCTCATTAAATATATATATAACGAAATTGAGCGTAATGAATATTGTTCTCATAAATATTTGATCATATTATAAATAACAGTAGCAAAAAATATAATTATGAGAAGGGAAATATTAGGAGAAAGCTCCAAGCTATTACGACTATATAGCACTTGAAAGGGATCTGGATAAGGATTTGGGATGGGACGGGAGAAAGGAATGGTGCCCAACCACTTGGACGGTCGGGGATTGAACGCCGACCTGCATGAAGCGAGACCGTCGCTCTACCGTCCACCCCAAGTGATTGGGTAAGACATAACTAAGCTCAAAATTAAGTATAAAAAGATGATCATCGGTAAGACAAGATCTTTCCATCTGCTGACAGTTCCAGACAGATGCTTACCGTGGTATTGTTGGAGGCTGTGCGGGCGCTACCCCGGGAAGGCAGGATGAACGGCGTGATGGAGCAGGGAGATCCTGGCTCCTGCATCCCGTGAACATCTTCCGTGTAGATGACTGGGCCTCCAACCCCTGTCTTAATAACCTTGGAAGCCACGTTGTTCCCGGTGAGCATGTTGGACAGTCGCTGGTTCTTTGGGGATCTTGATCTGGATCTGATAGTTGAGGTCTTGTCACCGGGGATCATCAGCTTGGTCTTAGAATTCCCCGTGCTCCTTGAGAGTTCAGTGGTGTTAGAGACATCCTCATCTGTGGTCTCGTGGGTCTTGGAAGAGACCTCTTGACTTGGCTCGTCTTCATGCCAGCTGCAACAGTAAGGAATGTTGATCTTTCGTACCAGCTTCAGGATGCCCATGATGCCACTGGTGTCGGAGATGTCTGTAGTCTTCAGATCCTTAGTTGTAGAGAAGAACAAATCTTTAATTAAGCACATATGTATAATTGACTCCATACGATCGATTAATATATTTCTTATCTATACCTAGAAATTAGTCTCTGCGGTTCGAGGAGAGATACTTTAGGCAAGCCCCACTAAAACAGACAAAGAAATAGAACCGCAGAAAGATTCAGAGGCAGATAAATATAGAGGGGCACAGACAGACAGACAGACATAGCATTGGGATGCCACACATGTTCCAATTTATTATAGTTTGTTCTCATCATTTTTTTTTTTTATTTGCTTCTGGTAGAATGATGTCGGGTCGTCCCACACAGCGGGTTGACCAAGGTACCGGGTCGACCTAACATGATGACCCAATCTTATTTTTGTTCTCTCTCTCCCTCTCTCTCTCTCTCTCTCTCTCTCTCTCTCTCTCTCTCTCTCTCTCTCTCTCTCTCTCTCTCTCTCTCTCTCTCTCTCTCTCTCTCTCTCTCTCCCTCTCTCTCCTTCTCTCTCTTCGGTGCATATACACCGAGTTTAAACTCAGTCCTGCGTAGTATTTAAAGCTAAAGAATATTTGCTGGTTAGTCCATGAAGCTATATAGAAATCCAATAATTGGCTTCCAACGCCACCCTCAGTTGGCACGCTTCAACCATAGCATCAAGCCCAAACTAATGTCCTAAGGCAGACGATGAGTCCCATTAACGTGGCTGAAGATATGATGACCAAACACCAAAGATAAAGAAACGACGACGTTTCGGTCCGTCCTGCCCCATTATCAAATCGATTGTGGTGTTAGACTTGATAATGGTCCAAAGACGGCCCGAAACATCGTCGTCTCTTCATCTTCTGGTGTGTGTGGATGTGGTCATCTGATGTCCTTACCTTGAGTACTAGAGCGAGGACACGGGTGTGGGCGTTGAGGGCGGCCTGCAGGCCGTGGTACATGGCCCATGCGGCCCAGGGGCTGGCCAGGAGACACGGCGTCACCACCACCACCACCCGACGGCACCGAGACACCGCCTCTGCCACCACCTCTATCACCTCTGTAGGGCAGGACGCAGAGGGCCACGTTTCATTACAAATAGGATTGACTATTAAGAAGTTTAAGAAATAGGGGTATAGAGCTATTATTATCGCCTCTGCGGAGCGAAGGGGGAATTTTGTCTTAACCAATTTGGCCGGCTATTATCACCACTGAGGTGATGAAGCCTTAATGGCTAATTGGGCTGGATAAAGAGAGAGATAGACTATGATCAAATGCAGATATAGATAGATCCAAAGAAAAAGTCAGTGAGAGATAAGTAAAAAGCAAAGATACCGACAGAGAAATACTTGAAAGATATAATCAAACAGGCAAAGAAAGAAACAAGGACAGTCACGTAGAAACGCAAACATATATAATATACACATAGACAGGCAGCGGCAGACAGCGAGATAGGTAAACAAAGACAGACACAGAATCAGAGAGAGACAGACGCATACATAGACAGAAAGGAAACAGTAAAGATACATGCCGGAGTAAATCATACTATAGATACATTAATGCTGGTCAATGAATGTTGGAGGATTAAAGCGGCTCTCCTTCATCAGATCATGATAATCCTGGACCTAAAAATTGATCTATTTAATGAGCTTATTAATTTTTCATCCGGTATGATATTTATTTAATGTTTTGATCATGATAGGTTCAGGATGAAGCTAGAGCCAACGGTGTGGAGAGAGAGGTGTTTGTGGCATTATGACAGGTGTTCTCCACACCTGTCATGATGCCATAACAGGTGTGGAGAACAACCGGTGTAGATAATAGCGTGTGAGGGAAACTGGTGAAATAAGCAAGAGACTTAGTGAACTACTTTCGTTGAAAATAAAAGGAGCAAGTGAGAATAGGTATAATTAATAATGGGTACTTAAGAATTTTGTTATAGGTGAGAACACAGGAGTACAGAACAACACGTGTTGAGAGTAACATTAGTAAGGAACAACAGATATAGAGAACAACATGTATAAAGAACAACAGGTGTAGAGAACAAGAGGCATAAGAAGCAACAGGTGTAGAGAACAAGAGGTATAATAAGAAGCAACAGGTGTAGAGAACAAGAGGTATAAGAAGCAACAGGTGTAGAGAACAAGAGGTATAATAAGAAGCAACAGGTGTAGAGAACAAGAGGCATAAGAAGCAACAGATGTAGGGAACACGAGGTATAATAAGAAGCAACAGGTGTAGAGAACAAGAGGTATAATAAGAAGCAACAGGTGTAGAGAACAAGAGGTATAATAAGAAGCAACAGGTGTAGAGAACAAGAGATATAATAAGAAGCAACAGGTGTAGAGAACAAGAGGTATAATAAGAAGCAACAGGTGTAGAGAACAAGAGGTATAATAAGAAGCAACAGGTGTAGAGAACAAGAGGTATAATAAGAAGCAACAGGTGTAGAGAACAAGAGGTATAATAAGAAGCAACAGGTGTAGAGAACAAGAGGTATAATAAGAAGCAACAGGTGTAGAGAACAAGAGGTATAATAAGAAGCAACAGGTGTAATAAAGAAGATACTGACGGTCGCCACCGCACATGTCCCGCTGCGGGAGGAAGCAGGTGTAGCCGCAAGTGTCCTCGAGCGCCGGCAGTAGCACCGACCACACCCAGCACGACGCCGACTCCCCGTGGACCACGAACACGTCGTACTGGTACCCGTCTGTGGGGGTGGTTATGGTGGGTTGTTATTGTAGTTATGGTGGGTGGTTATGGTGGGTTGTTATGGTGGGTTGTTATGGAGGGTTGTTATGGTGGGTTGTTATGGTGGGTTGTTATGGTGGTTGTTATGGTGGGTTATGGTGGTAATGGTGGGTTGTTATGGTGGTTATGGTGGGTGGTTATGCTGGGTTGTTATGGTGGTGGTTATGGTGGGTTGTTATGGTGGTGGTTATGGTGGGTTGTTATAGTGGGTTGTTATGGTGGGTTGTTATGGTGGTGGTCATGGTTGGTTGTTATGGTGGTTATGGTGCCATAATGGGTTATTATGGTGCCATGGTTGCTTGTTATGGTGGATTGCTACGGTGGTTTGTTATGGTGGGTTGTTATGGTGGTTTGTTAAGTTGTTATGGTGCGATGGTGGGTTGTTATGGTGCCATGGTGGGTTGTTATGGTGTCGTGGTGGGTTGTTATGGTGTCGTGGTGGGTTGTTATGGTGCCATGGAGGATTGTTATGGTGCATGGGTGGCTTAATATGGTGGTTTACAATAGTGCCATAGGAAATTACAATGATGCCATGGTTGGTAATGATGTTACGGTTGCATGATTTTTTTTCTCTGGCTAAACAAAAATTGTAAAATTGCTCCAAATAGTTTACTTAGCCTGAAAGAGAAAATACAATACCAAATACACAACACATTCCCTCATTTCATGAAAATTTTAATTAAATTCCTAAATATATTTTTTATAATATCACTTTAGCAGTCAGGAATCTTTTGATATCATAATAAAGCACAGATTAAAAATTTCCCTTATAACGGTATTGAGGGAATGTCTGGGGCCGGACAGTTATCGAACCAGCGCTCTGGTTATCTTGAGGTTAACTTGAGATGATTTCGGGGCTTTAGTGTCCCCGCGGCCCGGTCCTCGACCAGGCCTTCACCCCCAGGAAGCAGCCCGTGACAACTGACTAACACCCAGGTACCTATTTTACTGCTAGGTAACAGGGGCATAGGGGTGAAAGAAACTTTGCCCAATGTTTCTCGCTGGGATCGAACCCAGGACCACAGGATCACAAATCCAGCGTGCTGTCCACTCGACCGACCGGCTCTCGGTTGACACCAGACTTGCGCCACACCGCTGGACCACGACATGCTATAGTGGTTAACAACATCACTTGCAATATTTGTAAACAAATTATGTGGAACAAACTGGCAAACACCTTGAGGAGAGAATATAGCAATATATATATATATATATATATATATATATATATATACAGCATAAGGACAGTTTTTTCAGTCTAAAACATTGTACAATTACGAGATTAACCCGTCCAATTTACTCGATTAATTCATGTCGAAATTTTGAGAGAAAATATGTTATTGAAAGAAATATAATTGAATCTTCATGTTCAGCGTAATGAATATTATAAATTTAAGTCCAGGATTGTATATATTAAATAGTTTCATAATAGTAAATTTTGTAAGAAATATAGAGTTATGTAAATGTTGGGGTCAGATCTCACATCCTAATGCCATCTGTTTATGATTTTTAATCTAATCTCCTCATGTGCGGTGGGTATATACCCACACACCCGTGTACTGTGGCTGTTGTGTGCTTCTTGAAGAGTTGTTAATGCACGCAAGAGCTCAATTTTTTCGTTTTTGTTTTCCAAGTGGATACACACACACACACACACACACACACACACACACACACACACACACACACACACACACACACACACACACACACACACACACACACACACACACACACACACACACACACACACACACACACACACACACACACAGGCGGGACCAAAGAGCCAAAGCTCAACCCCCGCAAGCACAAATAGGTGAGTACACACACACACACACACACACACACATGCTGACTGACTCCATACTCAGGCTGACTGACTCCATACACAGGCTGACTGACTCCATACACAGGCTGACTGACTCCATACACAGGCTGACTGACTCCATACACAGGCTGACTGACTCCATACACAGGCTGACTGACTCCATACACAGGCTGACTGACTCCATACACAGGCTGACTGACTCCATAAACAGGCAGACTGACTCCATACACAGGCTGACTGACTCCATAAACAGGCTGACTGACTCCATACACAGGCTGACTGACTCCATACACAGGCTGACTGACTCCATACACAGGCTGACTGACTCCATAAACAGGCTGACTGATTCCATGCACAGGCTGACTGACTCCATACACAGGCTGACTGACTCCATACACAGGCTGACTGATTCCATACACAGAGGTTGGAGGCTGACTCCGTACACAGTTTCAAATGTAGATGTGATGGAGCTTGAGAAGCTCAGGAATCTGTACACCAGTAGATTCCGGTTGAGAGGCGGGACCAAAGAGCCAAAGCTCAACCCCCGCAAGCACAACTTGGTGATTACACCAACACGCATATGTATATACAGGCACGAAATGAATAGGAGAGGAAAGAGAAACATGACAGGACAGACAAGATAAAGAAGAGAGAGAGAGAGAGAGAGAGAGATAGAGAGAGAGAGAGAGAGAGAGAGAGAGAGAGAGAGAGAGAGAGAGAGAGAGAGAGAGAGAGAGAGAGAGAGAGAGAGAGAGAGAGAGAGAGAGAGAGAGAGAGAGAGAGAGAGAGAGAGAGAGAGAGAAAGCCGAACCGAACACCTTTCCATATTAATGACCCCAACTTGGGCGGTGCGGACAAGTCCAGTCGACTCTCAACAATATGTCGTTAGACGCCATTGGAGTCGGCCAGGCGTCAGCACTAACGACGACCCAAAATCCTGCCAGTCTGGAAGAGTGGCAAACACCTCATGTGCCCGATCAGTGCCTATTCACATGTCTCCCCCATGTGGCACCAAGTGGCACCTCCCGTCCCCCATGTGGCATCATGAGGCCAATGGCAAAAGAAAATGTCAACCACATGGAATGCTGATTTTTACAAGGATTTCGTCTACATTTCGCGTCTGGTACTCCCTGATGCTTGTGTGCTAAGCTAATGAATATTCTATTGAGTCTCGTGTCACTAGTTTCTTTAAAATGTCGACAAAGAGATAGAAGATCTGGTAATGTACTATTTGCGTTCTTTCCTTAATTTATACATCCATATTACATTCTTGGGCGACATAAATTTGGTAACGGCGAGGAGTTAGACCGAGACAATCATTAACCGGAATGAGAATACTCAATCGTCCGGTTAAAAGGCAGACGGGAAGCGGACATTGTAATCAGGTATTCTCTTTGGGTTCATCACAGTGATCACAGTGTAGCCGGGGAAGAAAAAGTCATCACTAAACTCAGATAACCTTTAAAGAAAATGTGAAACACACTCCGTCAGCCTTTACTGAGCATTAGAAGCGAGAGCTAATTAATAAAGAAGTAAGAAGATCATCTACGATGTATTTTGTAGTACCAAATTGTCCTTCTTTTATATTTTGCGTTGTTACGTTGAGCATATAGTTGAATGAATCGTTGAACAAATAAGAACGAAATTTTGGTTGTGCAGATGATGAGTCACAATAACGTGGCTGAAATGTGTTGACCAGACCACACACTAGAAAATAAAGGGACGACGACGTTTCGGTCCGTCCTGGACCATTCTCAAGTCGAAACGTCGTCGTTCCTTCATTTTCTAGTGTGTGGTCTGGTCAACACATTTTGGTAGTGTTTGCTTTTTGTGAAATATAATGTAAATCTCACAAAATATTGTATAACGTCTTTAAATTAACGTTGTTTTAGATATAAATGTGCACTTTGAGTGATCTCTTTATGTTTCAACAGGAGACTGTTGAAATTTCTCAACAACAGTAAAGCCAGTGGATTAGGCAGGGGTCATGTTACTGATGAAGTGGAGCAGAGAGTGCCAGGAGTCGTGCCAATGGAGCAGAGTGCCAGGAGTCCTATTAGTAAAGCAGACAGTGCCAGGAGTCATATTAGTAAAGCAAAGAGTGTCAGAAGTTATATTAGCAAAGCAGAGAGTGCCAGGAGTCTTGTCAGTGTAGCAGAGAGAGTCAGGAGTCTTGTCAGTGTAGCAGAGAGAGCCAGGAGTCTTGTCAGTGTAGCAGAGAGAGCCAGGAGTCTTGTCAGTGTAGCAGAGAGAGCCAGGAGTCTTGTCAGTGTAGCAGAGAGAGCCAGGAGTCTTGTCAGTGTAGCAGAGAGAGCCAGGAGTCTTGTCAGTGTAGCAGAGAGAGCCAGGAGTCTTGTCAGTGTAGCAGAGAGTGCCAGGAGTCTTGTCAGTGTAGCAGAGAGTGCCAGGAGTCTTGTCAGTGTAGCAGAGAGAGCCAGGAGTCTTGTCAGTGTAGCAGAGAGAGCCAGGAGTCTTGTCAGTGTAGCAGAGAGTGCCAGGAGTCTACTATGAACAACACGAAATCAAAACAAGAGGCTAGGGTGCCAGTCTTGTTGACCACCCGTTTGTTTACACAGCCAAGGTGCCGGCTCCAGCTCACATCCGTACACAAGAACACCCGACATATCTACTACGCCACACAAGAAGAAAAAAAAACACCTTACGAGGGTCCCTGAGATCATGTAACCTGTCCTCTCGAACACCACATGGGATGTTGACTTATGAATCCCCAACGTCAAAATATAATATGCTATCTCGGCTCGCAAAAATTGACGATCTGTCAGGTTTTCTGTCCTTTGGTCTCTGTTGGATTCCGTTCGGGCAATTTAGTTCATTTTTGTGGCGTTATGACGACTGGAGAGGACGGTGTGCCCACACAGCCTAAGGCTTTAAGGGAGAGATATGTTATCCTATCTCTGTGATTGTTGCATCAGTGCCCAAGGAATTCTTGTTTAGTTAAAAATATACTGTAATTTGCAATATGAGTGGGCGATTTTGATCCTGCTAGTAGGCTTTTTTGTATTATTATTGTGGTACATTTTCATATATATACTTTTCCGGAAGCCTATACGAAAGGTCACATAGTGCTAGACGCCTGGTTTGCAGCAACAGCAGTCAGTCTTATGGTT